GCAAACCCTCATGTACTTCAGATACCTGTTACATGACCTCATTTGAACTTCCCATACATTTGACTCCTCTTTCTGCAGCGATGTAAAGCAGAGCCAGCGGGGTTAACTAGAGACCCATGCAGCACGTGGGGCTGTGTAAACATGAGACCGTTTCTGTTTCTAATCCCTTAAACTTTCTTGATGCACTGGGCTGATTTCTCTGGCAGGTTACCGCCCATGCTTCCAAGTATTGACTCTGCTATTAAAGCTGTAACACTCAGGTCAGTAGGGACGGCCACACAGAAATTGCTTTATATTGTGTGTGGGTGCCAAGAGGCAGCGCCGGTTTAATGTCACTCAAAAACAAGCTCAGAGGGGGCATATTGAACATATTTTTAAAAATCAAAATGTAAAAAAAGTCTGCCGTTCATGCTGACATGCAAATTAATAACTGTGTTTACCACTAAAGATGGGAGGCTTGGAGGATAACTGCATGTCTTAACCTATTGGGAGGGTGATGTCTCCGTGGTGTGGCCTTTGAGAAGCAGCAGGACTGTGTTTATGGACCGAAAGCGGGTGGTGGAGCTCGTCTCTGAGATGCTGTTCACTCTGAGCCTTCTCCCAGAATTTAAAATAAGGTCATTGTCCCTGGGAGGGCCCCAAGTCAAAGCTGTCCTTCTGCACCTGCCCTTTAAGTCAGCTCATCTGCACCTTTTTGGCTCTTCATGTGTCCACTCTTATATTCAGTCAATTTGAGAGCACTGCACCAGAGCTAATACAGGATAATGTTGTGACTCCATGCGTGTGCTGAAGGCTGTAGCAATGACATGTGTTTTGGATATACATAGTTCCCACATGACGTCACTACATACGGGGATTTGCCGACCCGGCGCCATTTGTGTTGGCATGCTGTGGGCAAAACAATAGAAAAAGAAGCTGAAACGTGTTAATGTCGTGATAAAGTTGAAAATGGTCATCTCCTGCTGGGTCAATGGATGTTCAAATCGTGCCGGAGGTTCCGTTAAACTTGGATTTTACAGTATACCCATCATTAGACTTCATGAATGTGAGAAGACTAAGCTTTTGTCAGAACAACCACGGAGGTTATGGCTTGCGAAGATAAACAGGCAAGAAACTCCCTCAAAAAACACGCAAGAATATGCTCGGAGCACTTTGTGTCAGGTGCGTATCGTATCTTATAATGTGTTGACAGACGTAATTTACTCAGTACTAACTTGTGTATGCTGATAGCTGGTAACTTGAGAGTTTCATTATTTAGATTACTTTATTATGAGGAGGATCGGTGTCGCGTCCGAGGCTCTCGAGGGCAACGTAAATGTATTAAATAGATAATAATAGTTCTATGGTGGGCTAAAACAATGTTCACAAACAGCATTGCTTCTGTAAAAAGATCTGTGTCATAAAATAAACTGCTCTTTACGCCTGGAAAAATCAGTTGCCCACCATTCACCAAAACATACGGTCAAAAACGCGGAAATAAACAATAACAGCAATCCAGAGTGTCCGTGTGGCATTAGCATTAATTAAATTAATTGTTAATATAATTAAAATAATTAAATGGAGCTCCAACTGGTATTAAATCTAAAGTTTTTGAGAAATGTTTGCATTGCTTGTTAATTTTTGCTGCATAATTTGATCAAATATGTAAAACATGTCCGTAGCACGTTAAACTGTGGTGCCATTGTATTAATATACAATTATTTGCTCAAAAGTTGCCCTTTTTTTCCAATTTGCGTTTGAATATCTACATTTATTCTCATTCTTCTGTTTAATGGAATGCACAAACACAGCAGCGTGCCATCAAAGATGGCGTCTCCGAGGAGGTCATGTGACATTCATTGGTCTGTGGGAACTATGTATTGCATACCAACATAGCAACAATGTGCAAAAACAAATAATACAAGGTGTTTTGTAAGAGTGGTGAATGGGCCTGCTAAACCAACTTCAATCAGTTGTTTTATTAAAATACAATCTCTGTATTACATTATGTATTGTTTTACTGTTGGGAGAAGCAGGTTTATAGTGTTGCTATTCAAATATTTCAGTAAGTCAAACATGAATGAACTCTGATCGATTGTTCAAGCTCTGGTCAGTCCTTTGGTCAGTCCTGAGGTCAGTCTTGAGGTAAGTCCCAAAGGTCAGTCAGGACTAAATATTTATTTTACTTATGCAATCCCTGGTATTATATATGTTATATCTATGGACCTCAATATTATGTGTCCTTAATAAAGACAAACAAATAATAAAAATAGCCATATCCATTCTTAATTATTTTCAATCCAGGGCACATTCAGACCCACAGACAAGAAGCCCCTGTAACACTTTGTCCCTGCGGCTGCATTTATTCGTTTTGTCTAATAGTGGCGTCTGTCGGTAATGCCTCAAAACTCTAATTTGATTGGAGAAATGAATTTTGTGTATTAGCAAAACAATACACCAGAAATGGCCTCGTTAGGAGATAAGGCAGGTAATAAGTGTATTAGAGCTTCAACTGTGTCTGCAGCCGCACAGATGCATATCCAATAAGAAGGCAGAGTGAGCAGGACAATAACCCACTATTCTTATGCTAATCAAGGAAACCATTAATGTTTACATTCAAAATCAGCCTGTCCATAGAAATACATTCACTCCCCGCTAAACTGGGATAATTAGTTCCCTCTTAAACCCATATTCCATTAACTCAGGTGAATCCATCTGAGTTTCATCAAATTTCTGCTTCATTTTGCATGATAATGCAATTTAAAAGCAAATGACATATTCAGGCGCTGGAGGAAATTAGCGTCTATGTGAAAATAATAGACATTTACAAGGCTTCTTGCTTTATTTCATATAAATCGAAATATTTGAAAGTCGTCGGCATAATTCAGCGTGGCCGATTTATGTATAAATGAATCTCTAACAGTAAACAGCTTATAGCAGATTAGTGACTGGTTTATTGAATGCTCCTGTTGCTTCCCTGCACACTTTGTATATGTGACACCTTGCATTATGATGTGGTCCTGATGTTGAGAGGATGGGACTGACAGCAGCATTCAGGTCCTCATTGAAGCCTGTGATTCTGGAGAGACCCCACGTCCTCATTGGAATAACACGCAGCCATCACAGGCTCTGCTGATTAGCTCTGTGTGCCCAGGAAAATGGAAATGAATGTCCATCCCAATCGCTCTGTTTTACATGATGTGTGCAAAATCAGTACCTCTCTCATCTTACAAAGCTCACCAAGACCTTCGGAAACTGGACTTAGCCAATATTATGTTGATTAATTTAATCCAGGGTATTGGTAATAATTGGGTCTGTAGTTGACCAAAGAGATTCTAGGTTGATAAACTACATGAGATGTAGATCGATATGAAGACTAGAATTAGGGCTAAAAATGAATACGATCCTGACCCAAACTGTTCTCACAAGACGATAGAAGAAAACATGTCATATTTAATAAATAATGAGGACAGAAAAGTGCATTCAACGGTGACTACAAAACCATCGGTGGATAATCGATAAAGTGCCTAAAGTTGCCAAATTTTGGCTTAGCGCTAGTCCCTTGTCTGTTTAGGTTTCCTCCATGTGCTCCGGTTTCCCCTATACCGCTAAAGACATGTAAAATATGTGTGGCTGCGACTTTGGGACGATGGATGCAAGTTATCGCAACACTACAATACGTTTGAATAATAAAGAAAAACAGGTGAAAGTGAAAAATGTGAAACCAATTTATGAGATTGACTCATTACACGCAAAGTCAAATATACCAAAGCCTTTGTTCCATTTAAACATATTCAAATTTCCTGACATATCAACATTATAAAAAAAAGCTTCATATATTAGCTTTACACTGTAAGCTGAATTGCAGTATCCAATGGACTTTAAAATGATTTTATAGTTTCACTTGTGAATAAAAAAAGCAGATGACTAAAGATTGATAGCCCAGGCAATAACGTGCTAAACAATGTGTGTGAAACAGAATGCATGAGAGTGGCCTTGGATATATACATAATTTCATAGAATAATACAGTAACAAATAATTAGAATTGTCTCCTAGAAGCGATTCAAAGAAAACGGAGCAATAACACGGCATTTTCTCTCAAATAAGTTCAACCTTGTAGCCTGAACAGGAAGTTACTAGTGTGGATGCGACGGTTAAATGCCTCAGATGCATAACGACGTATTGGAAATTAAGATGAAGAGATCCTTTATTCGTCCCGCAATGGATACATTTCAGTGTTGCATCACCAATCACAGAACAGTAGGAATGAGGAGATAAATGAACACAGCACAAGATAAGATAAACACAGCTCTATACTCTATTCTAAACTTTCTACTAAATACAATTACATACATAGAAATACATTTGTAAATACATGTTGAAATTGTAATTATACAATATTAGCATGTGTGGGTATATACTCACACAGTAGGCAACATGTACAGAAGGTCATATAAACTAAGGAATGTAAATATTGTAAATACTTTTGAATGCCAAATTTCTGCCCGAATGAATAAAATCAATCAATCAATGAAAAAGAAAATCTAGCTTTAGCATAATAACGAAGCAATCTATGATCTCAGACTTTAGCAGAACGAAGAGGAAAGGAATACGTAGAAAATCTCTGACTTTAGCATGATAAGAAGTATACCATGCTGCTGTATTTTTTACCTTTCATATTTCACATGTGGCCTGTTGCCGTAGGGGGGAGCGTCCCTGTGCGTGTCTCGGTGGCTTCAGCACACACGCGCGCACACCGGCTGTAATGGATAGGAGCTGGCTGAGGGCGTCTGTCAGGGGCGACTGTTCTAATCAGAGCAGTGGGGAGAGAGATAAAGGAGAAAATAATGAGTGTGGCATCGGGCCTTTCATAGCGCAACAAAAGGCCACGGGATCAGATAGACACACACAATGTGGAGAGGAGAGCTGGGGAGGAGGAGGAGAGAGAGCGAGGGAAGGAAGGATGGGAAGTGGCAGGACGAGGCACAAACAGGGAATGAGTTTGCTAATAAGCTCGTGGATGCGGGACGCGGTGGAGGTATTTTTAGACGTTTTTAGTGCGGTCTTAATCAGACTTCTGAGAATGACCTGGACCAAAATATCAATAGAAATAAATAAGTACTCTTAATGTGTGTCTGAAGAGTATACTGAAAAGAGGCAAGACGAAAGTTCAGTTACATTGTAAAATCAACTAAATTACACACACTCACACACACACACACACACACACACACACACACACACACACACACGCACACACACACGCAGGTCCAGGACATAAAAGAACACCATATGTAATGCATAAAATCTGTATAACTTAAATAAAACAAATACTTAAAGAATGAATGTCCAAAATGTGTCCACAGTACTGCTTCTTATGGTGATGGCTATTTCCTGGGCATTGTGCAATTGTGCTGTGGCCTGTTCCAATTATTGAAACGTGATGAATTAAACATTTCTGCTGGAAAATGTATAGTTTGGTTACAGTATTAACTATGCATGACCAATAGTGGTCAAAGCAATACACAGGTTTTTGAGAAATGTGATGTGAAATAGTGGAAGTGTAAATAAGTGTAGCCCCAAAACTTTACAGGAGTCTACAATAACTAATAAGAGAAATGAATACAAGTCAATCAATGAGAATGAGAGAAGTAGGAACTGTATTCAACAAGTCATGTATAATAAATAATCAATAATAAAAGTGAAATTACTCAAATTGTTACTCTCACCCTCAAATCACCAAAAAATACACTCCATTCTAAGAGCGATCAAGAACCCGATGCAATTCTACCGTTTTGACAAAGAGCCTCCACAACTGCTGCAATTCCTACTCAAACTTTGAACGCCGCTCACAATGAGGGCGAAGACAGGGGTTTCTATGACAACATCCATCACTTTGGAGATTATAAACAGAAGCTCTTCATTTTATTTCAGAGCGCAAAAATACTTAGCCAGGCTCGGTGCCCTCTCTCCGTCTGTCTCTCTCTCTTTCTCTCTCTGCAGTCTGATTAGTGCTGCTTCATTTGCCGTGCATGTGATAATTTCCAGTTTTATTATTAATGCTTAATTTACCCAGATTACACTCCTTTGATTATTAATGCCTAATTTAGCCTGATGACTCCGATCATTACCCAGTGCCCAAACTGAAAGCAAACAAACTCAGTGGTCCTCCAATGTGGCCATACAACCTCCTCTAACAGATAATGATACTGCTCAGAGGAGCCAGCGGGCCCAGGGACTGTGTTAAGTCTATGTTATTTCTCTCTCTATTTTTTTTTTTAAAACCCAAACTCCCATCAAAGTTTAAAGAGAAAAGAAATACTAATTAGAAACTGCAAGCTAGAAGAAATGAGGAGGCAGAGTCTGAACAGAAAATCCTATTCACAGACTTAATGAGCTTGTCGAAGCTGAATAATTGATTTCTAATTCTAGCCTGCAGCTGTTGACCCAACCACGGAGTGTTTTGAATGACGCTGAAATATGTTGCGCTCCAACTTGGCACCGATGGCTTTTCGAGTAACTTACCCCAAAACTATCGTATTTTACCCAGCACTTTTATGTACACATGTTTCACGCTTAATTAGATGACTAGACGGAGATCCCCGCTTTGAAACGCATCACCCATAATTCTCTTGACAACTCAATCCTCCCACTACTATCAGAATAATATATGCGGTTACAGTTGTTTGGTTATTAATACTACAAGCATAAATGACATAAAGCCAAGTGTTCCCGTATACACTGATAAAGCCGTAACTTGCAGACAGAACCGTGTGTGTGTTTTACGAAGACGACTATTCGGTGAAACTAATATATAATATCGACTCATTAGTCTTTGTTTGTTATAATGTTGATGGCTTTCAATCCATTATCAAAATATTCTAATTTTATGAGATGTTTTATTTGGGGTTTTTACAGCTGTGAGCTACGGTAATCAACATTATAACTTAATAAACCTTGGATATATCTTACTTTACATGCAAAGAGTCTATATCATATCTTAGTGTCAAGTTGAATTACAGAAGTGACTGGACATTTCAACAATATTTCTGAGTTTCACCTGTGCACACAAGTACTTAACTTGAAGCGGCCCAGTAGCTCCACAAATCCTCAATATACACAGAGATTATGAGGAATTAAAAGAAAATTCAAATTCCTGAATCATAATTTTTTAATGGATTTAGTCGACTTAATCTTGATTAAATGAAACAGGAATATCAATTCAAATGAAAAGTTAAAGGGCAAGAATATAACAGGTCTTTCTAAACTTGAACAGGGACACCATGCGCTGTGCTCAATTAAAGCTAAATACTAAAGAGAAGAAAATGTTATGATGGTTGGAGTGTGTGTAGGGTCCTCCCATAGGCCCACGGTTCATATCAGAAGTCGATGGTTGTCTGAGGACTGATTGTTTGTGCTCTGCAGGATGAGACTGTGCTGTCCTGGGGGTTTGGGGGCTTTGGGGACAGAGGAGGCACAGAGCACCCTGTGTGTGACCACAGCAGCTCGGCGTCCCTGTAAGATGACCTCATGGAAAATAGGCCTAATTATTGCTGTGACAGCCCCATGCTATCATATTCGGCCAGATCAGTCACTACGGAGGGAGGAGGAGAAGAAAAATTAACAGAAATATATACGGCCGTGCCACCAACCCCCCCTAAACTCTGCCCATTTATTTTTAATACCCTAATCAGCAAGTCCCAACGGGGGCTTGGCTCTCAGTCAGCCGCGCCGACATCCACAGGTGAGCACAGGTACAGGCTCGGAGCGAAGCCAAAGGAACCGTGCTCATGACGGGGGCTAGTGTTGACGCACAAACAAACACACTCTGCCTTTTAGACAAATCAGCTTCTATTTTGAATCATTCGGATTATTATCATTATACACATTTTTATGCATTTATTTAGATCCCCGTTAGCTTCCACAAGTGTTCGTTAGTCTTCCTGGGGTTGATTCTACGGAGGATTACTCACATTACAAAAGTTCAAACATACAATAAAAATATAGAGGCATTTCTTATATATATTATTTCCTTTGCCTTGATGCCATAGACGACTGATTCCAAGCAGCTTATCTAAACAAAACTGTTCTGCTCATACGGCTCAACTTCAGAAAAGGAACAGAAGAACTGCATCTGGAGAGCTGACCTGCGGGCCACATGATGATGGCAATAACAGCTACAAACACCTTTTTCCAAGAACTGCGGATTGTTTTGTCAACGTAGAATGAGCTTCAGACCAGAAACTTTTTCATTACAATCGACACAAGGCTTTTCTCAGAGATTGGGCTTTAAACTGAACGCATCCTTGACACATGCAGAGATTTTTCTCCGCAGTTGAGTGTGAACAGATTTCTGCACTTTGACAAATCATGGAAAATGTCTGTGTTTTGCCAGGAAAATTCGAGGAATAGCTCTTCAACAGACAAGTTTTAAATTCTGAGAACAGAAAGTAAAATTTGGGACTTGAACTGGGCCAGCATGAAATCACAATTTGAAAGATGAAAATTGTCCAAATTGCAAAAGTTGTGATTAGGTAATACAGACTCCATGAATGGTTCCAGACCTCTTCAACATGGAATGAAATACATTTGAGTTTATATTCATTTTAAAAGATATTATTTATCTTTTTGGAAAATGTTGGAAATGTTTATTAAGCACCTAATCCTGATATTAAAAATAGCTGATGAAAACATTTTCCATGGTTAGTTTTTCTAATTTCTATGTCATTACCCTCAAGCTCTGAAGCGCCAAAAGCAACAATTTATAACATCATTTTTAGAAACTATTCATTATATATTGCAGCAAACAGTGACAAGCTACAAAGAGAAAGCAAAGCGAGAGTAAAAGCTGCAGTCGTCTGTTAGCTCCATAGACTGAGCTCTAATACGCACCGTTTCTCATCTGCAGTTTTTCTTGACGACTGAAAAAATAACTGTTCCTATTCTGTTACGTTTACTGTTATTAATTATTATTTGTACATTGTCGTTAGTTTGCCCGTGGTCATACAACTGCCACATTAGCCCGCCTCAAGGAGATATCGGACAACAATAAAGTTCTACATGGAAATCATATTATCTTATTATACAAAGTCAAATAACAGCAGTTTTACGGCAGCCTCGTTGTTACAATTGTATAAGAGATTCCCATTTATAAGCGCCAGTATCAACACTTGATATAACTCTGTGAAAACCTCCTGCAACAATTCAATTGAGCGGCAGCATATGGCAAATACAAGTTAATGCAGACGGAGATCTCAGAAACCGTCCCTTTCCTGAAGCTATAGTCATTAGACTGGATCATTATATGATAGATTTCAGGGCCATTTACCAAGGTTTTGTTCCCAGAGACAGTATTTCAGAAACACCCTGGGAATGGGACACACTACACCAAGAAGTACCTCCGTGAGAAAACATGAGATAGGACAAGAGGAGGGTGATCTTTGGCCGCTAAAACTTGTTTTATTAAAAGCAGCACTTAAAAACTTTTATAACTTCCTAAAGGTCCTTGAATGTGAAAATTAAATGTGTTTGATTCAACAAGCACGCTGACAGCAAGTCCAAGCTCCAAGTGAAATACATGCTACAACTATAATTTAAAAAATCAAACAAAAACAAATGAAAAATAAAAATGTAGTGTCTGCTCAAACAAACAATAGATATATAAATTATTTAATTTTCAATAATAATCAAATATTAAACCAATTTAAATGAATCACAAGAAAAACCCAGATCTCCAAGTAGAGCTGCCTCTGGGACTGATGGAGCGTGCAACGTGTAATGACCAACTCCAGCCGCTCTCCATGTGCTTTTGTTTGGAGTTTCCTTTATTACATAAGGTGCACATGAGGTTATAAACGTTTGACTGTGATCTGGATAACTTCCAAATATTATAATAATTGCTAGATTATTGGATTATCAAAACTGTCACAGCCCTGGATCAAAATGTAAGCATTTTATGTTCATTTATTTATTTGTTTGGCCTAGTGCTGTCAGTTAAACGCCTGATTAACGACATTAACAGCATTAACGCAAACCGATTTTACCTGAGTGAATTTTTTGATTCTACAATTAACACGAGTATGTATTACGACAGAAAACGTAGGTCATAATTGAAAACAGCCCACACCACACAGGCTCCGATGTGCGACACTTTCCACTTCAGAAGACACGTGCACAGTTTAGGGGACGCAAGGTACACAGGAATCATCAACTATCTCCAGAGAAATCATAACTATCTGTAGGTCACAGCCCAAATGTTGAAGCTAATTATTTTCATGGCGCGTGACAGTCGTATACACTGACTTAAATAAAAACATGAACAAAAGAGTAGCCTTTATTAGACAATTCAAGCCATTCCTCCCTAGTTTTAGACACTGTAAAAAAGAAAAAAATGCAGAAATTAAGTAGCCTATAATAGACAATCCAAATACTTTGAGGGGAAATGGATGAATATGAGCTTTTTGCTTTGACCAATCCCTTTTCAAACCAAATCAAGGGACATTTAGAACAAGGAATAATATGGATTAATTGTGAGTTAGCTTTGACATTCATGCGATTCAATATTGTAATCGTTTGACAGCAGTAGTTTGGTCTCTACAAAGTGACATCCATCAACATCCTTTATCCATAAAGGCAGAACTTGGTTTTAATTACTGTTGTTTTGTTTGTAACAGAGGGAAAGTCAACGTGAATCTTATCTTACAACAAGAAAACCTGACAAGCTACTTCTAGCGGCCATAGAGGCAATCAGCAGAAAAAACTTGAGTCAGCTGTGAATCAAACATCAATCATACATAAACACAATCAAACAATGTATTATCCTAATAATGAGATTAATTCCACTGATTACAGAAGCAGCATACTCCAGATAACTGCTCTTCATTTGTGCCGTGCGATTGGATGTTGGTCGGCCCTCTGAGCTCATTTCTCTAACTCAGCCCCTACCCCTGATCCTGTGCTCCATCCTGTCCCTGTGCTCCTGCTCCTGAACCTATACTCCTACTGTATACTTGTGCTAGTTCTCCTGTGCCTGTGCTCTTGCTTCATGTGTTCCTACTCCTGTCCCTGCGCTACTGTGCCAGAGCTCCTGCTATTGTGCCCCCTATTCCTGTAACTGTGTCAACGTCCCTGTGCTCCTGTCTTGCACTCCTGCCCAGTGCTCCAGTCCCTGTGCTCCAGTCCCTGTGCTCCTGTCCCTTTGCTCCTGTCCTTGTGCTCCTGTCCTTGTGCTCCTGTCCCTTTGCTCCTGTCCTTGTGCTCCTGTCCTTGTGCTCCTGTCCCTGTGCTACTGTCCCTTTGCTCCTGTCCTTGTGCTCCTGTCCCTGTGCTCCAGTCCCTGTGCTCCTGTCCCTGTGCTCCTGTCCTTGCACTCCTGTCCTTGCGCTCCAGTCCCTGTGCTCCAGTCCTTCTGCTCCTGTCCCTGTGCTCCAGACCCTGTGCTCCAGTCCTTGCGCTCCTGTCCCTGTGCTCCTGTCCCTGTGCTCCAGTCCCTGTGCTTCAGTCCCTGTGCTCCCTTGCTCCGCTCTCCCCTCCCTGTAGGATGTAGTGTGTAATAGGCACTGACAGTCGGCGTGCAGGTCACTAACCCCATGGCCCAGTCTAATTGAGGCTAAGGATCGCGGCTTGTCCTGCCATCTATAATTAAGCACATCATCTGTGGCCGTATGAAAGATTCAGCTGGACTGGGAGTGGCCCGACACCTGATCCCGCCGTTAGACTTCTGCACTGAAGCAGATAAACGTATGTGTGTCCGGGGACGACGGCACCGCGCTGACCTGTGAGCGACTACTGATTTACCACCGTCATTACACCGGCTTTTATTACAATGCAAAAGCTACTGTCAAGATTTACAATAAGTCAATTACTTTTATTATCGTTCATAATTTTAACTAGATTGTGCCTGAAATGCCACTCAAAACCATAAACCGTGTGCTAGGCGTCACGGTGGTGGCACAAGTGACTGAGTGGAAAGCATTCTCGCTTCTCAGCAAGAAGGTCCTGCGTTCGAATCTCAGTCGGAACAGGGTCTTTCTGAATGAGTTTGTATGTTCAGTGTCTGAGTATGTTTCCTCCGGGTTCTCCGGTTTCCCCTGCCCCTAAAACACAATGGTCACTCTGGTCCCGGGCGCTGTACTACGGCGACCACTGCTCCTGATGTCACCCTAGTGTTAGCTTTAATGAGGAAGAAGCTGATTTGAACACAAGCTAACCAGAGCCAATTTTCTTATATGGTCATTTGTTCGACGTGGTTAGATTCGTGCCATGTCAAGGTAGACGTGCTCCTAAGACAATATACAATTTTATACAGACGCAAGGATCACAGCGAGCGCTAAATTGGGCTTCATTGAGCTAAGGGGTTAGCATTGTCCATATATATATACAGTATATGCTCAAAACGCATTACTCATTAATTGAAAGCCACAGCTGTCTGAGGTAGAAAGAAAGGACTTACCCTCTCACCACATACAGTACTCATTCAATAAAAGACTCAAAGACCTCATAAAAAACCATGAGTTGTTTTTAGATCAATCCCGTTATTATCAGGAGCTTCTGGCACAAACATGTTACTCTGTCTAAAAGCTTCAATCTCAGTCTCATAGTGTCATTGTACCATATGACATAACACCTAAGAGAAGTTTTATACCTTTAAAATCAAAGGTAGGGCCCATAAATGAGTTCTGTCAATTTCTCTGGTGAAATAATATTTTTTCCAATCACATGTCTGTTTTTGCAGCCGGTACTTTTCAAATTTGGGAATAAACAAAACATATTCTCTTCCCTCTGATGGTAGTTGCGAGCCGATAGTATTATTTAGCCTAAAATATTATTTCCCCAAATATTTTTTGTTAATATTATTCATTATTTCACAAACTAAAACATGAAATTAATAGTCTAATAATATAAATGGACAAAAATAATGCTTCATATTTCCTCTTTAATATTATGGATAGAACAACAATCAATAACTCATCCATCCATCCATCCATTTTCTTCCCTTTAATCCATTTCTGGGTCAGGGGGGTGGCAGTCAGAGATGCCACCCAAGTCTCATAGCACCAGCCCCTCACTGACCCTCTGCAGGTGGTGAGTCCACAGGAGGACGGCTGCTCTCTGACTGTGAGCATAGCCTTGATCTTTCAGTGGGGGCTTTGGGCAAAGTGGGGTTAAGTGTCTTGCCCAAGGACACAACGACAGCAGTCATCAGTGGGAGTCGGTGGAGAAGGTGCAGAGGTGGGAATTGAACCCACGACCTTCTGGCCTTAAGGCCAATGCTCTACCAACTGAGCTACTGTCGCCCCCACTCAAGATTTTTAAATGTCCTCTACAAAAAAAGATTAATCGATTATTTACTAATCGAGATTACTTACTTACTTACTTACTTACTATATGTTTTGACCATTTCATAATCTGTGGTGCTGTACAGTACAAGTCATGCTTATTTAGGTATACTTTCTGAAAAACCACAACACCAGGCAACAGTACGTGAAGAATAAGCAGGGAAACACAATGGTTACAGACACGCTAAGGTGTGATTGTATTACACGTCCAGTACGACACAGCCATACAGGAGCATAGAGAAAAAGGTTGTAATGATTGCTGAATGCATTCAACAGGCTTATGCGTATTCAAGAGAAACAGCATATTTCCATGATGCCACTTAGCAAAGCCCATAGAATGAGCATACAAACTCTAAACCACTCTCCTTGTTCTTGCACGAAGCCTGGCCTGATCTTTGGCGTGACAGAAACTTGAAGTGTACTCTGTCCTCTTCAAACAGCCCCCCCCCCTCTTCCCCGCTTCCTCGCCTTACCCCACTCAGCTCCTCTCTTTCCTGCCGATGCCTTTGAAATTCAGCTTTCAAAAAAACGCTGCTTTTTGAATTAATGAATCATTTTTCGCCAGGTGTCGTTGGGGATGGGGGGATTTACGAGGGGAGGGGTGAGGCTAATAAATACAGAGTGGTACTGCGCAGAAAAAGAGAGAGAGAGAAAGAGAGAGAGAGGGTCCAGCTACCCTTCCCATCTCACTCACCCATCGCCCCGCCGCCCGAGATGAAAGCCCTGGCTCGTTCCTGTACCTTTAATTTAAAGCTGAAAAGGAAAACGAGAGCGGGGGTGCGAAACACGCTTATGAATATGGAGAAAATTGAATGAGAACTGTCCCTTTGAATAAATGAGTATAAATGTCCCTTGGCCTTGTTGGGAGACAGGTCACATGAGACTCTTGGATAAACAGATGGAGAGCTGCCTGATGGGCCACGCTAGCCTTATACGCAGATATTTGCACCAGTTTTGTTCATCGCTGGTGTTCTTTTATGGCGTCGTTTTGATTCTGTCAAAGTATACACAGCATTATAACTATATTCAGATGTCATTAGGATGGAGGACTGTGGCCTTGGCCATGAAAGCATCGGTGCGATTCTGACCAGTAGAAACACTATCCTTTAGCAGAATGTGATTTGACTGCAAAAAGCTTGATGGGAGTAATACATCTAACTGCCTTGATAGCAGATGATGATGAATGCGACACCGCTCTGTACCACAAAGACGATCCCATGCTTTTGTTTAAAGTTTCAAAAAGTTCACCACTCTTAAGCTACTCTCATGTTTCATCACCACAAATGTTCCCAATAAAGTTTCATTCAGCCACTTCAGCAAATGCAATCCCACTTGTAATCATTCACATTCATGTATTTTAAATACTTGTGAATGCTAATAATATTGAAGACAATGACGCGGGGCGTCTGGGGTCGTTTTTTATTGATGTTAAGACAACAAGACCAGAGTTTTGCTGCATGTGAATTTATTAGGGCTGTCAAACGATTAAAATGATTTAGTTGATTAATGGCATAGTAATGGTGAGTTAATTCATGATTAATAGCATTTTTAACATTCTATTTCAAATCCCCTCCAATTGAAGTTAAATGAAAATTTCAAATATAATGACACATTGTCATTCATACCAATCGCACTTAAATCTGTTTGATTTGTCACAACCTTATACTTTTGGGCACAACCAACATGAGCTGTTAACGAAAGGGAAAACTTTTGGAACCCCATCTTTGATTTAGCAAGTTTAATTGCGTTTCAGGAGGAGATATGGTCACTTACGCACACAACATGCAGAGAACAGTTCAGTGCGTGTATGGTCTTATATGACCACGTTACCACGGCGCCATTCGCCATGTTGTTGTTAGCGGCTCACAGCCAGCTAACCACAACCAGCGCAGCCGCAGCTGCCCCGGGTCAGAACGCTGCGGCCACGGAGGAGGCAGACTTCAGTTCATGGCAAACAACAGCAAGTGCCCTGTGGTCACACACATATTCAAATTTAAAAACTTGATTTCCCAGAGACCTGCTCTGTCCACATCGCATTAATGAAACATTTAATTAACATGAGTTAACGCGATAATTTTGACAGCCCTAGAATTTATACAATGGAGGACTCCAATCAGCAGCTGCCACAGTGTCAGAAGCTTTGGCCTTCAGATAACCAAAACATCCAAGTCGAGTCCTGCATACTGTTAGAATGACGAGTTCAACTTTAACCACAGTTGCTTGAAAGTGTTTTTAAACATCTATCTCTACAGCGCTTTAATATAATATTCAATGCCTTTTCTAACCTTTTCTTAATATCAAACAGGTAAAGTTATGGGTAAAAAACTGACCTGAATCAAAGCAGAAATAAACACATATCTTATTAAACTATTCAACAGACAAGATGATGCTATAAAACTAACAAACATCTCATGAGAAAGCAATTATCCACTAAACCACCAAGAGCACCACAGATTGTTAGTATCTTTAATCCTTCTGCTTTGAAAGTGTCATACAGCTGAAACGACATAGCGAGTACACAACACACAATGCACAACCATCCACTTGTCCTCTATCCACATGCAGTCCTAGCGTATTTTTCAGATTGGATTATAGCGTTAAATAATAAAGACAGCGAGCCAGAGGAGGCTGCAGGGACACGGACATGAAGAACTCATCGTTTGGAGGTTGTCTCTATAGCTCAGTCTCCTCTTTATTGTGAGTGCTATGAGGAAGGGGGAGAGAATTCAATCTAGCACTACTTTGGTGAACAGGCAGACACTGACTGACACTCATGAGTTAAATGCTAATTGAAGGTAGCACAGGGCTGGATGCGAGTTCTGAGAGCCCGGTCTGAATGGCACACGGCCTTGGACTGAGGACGCCACAATGGAAGGAGCTAAAAGCAGTGTGTGTACTCTCCTATACTCGCCGATTCACCAACACTTTTATTGTTGACAGCATCGAAGAGACGAGACTCCATTTATGCAAAACATTCATGTATATTTTAGCAGTAAACAAAAACAGCAATATACATCATCTGTTTGAAAACTTCTGAGCTTTTAGTTGGAAAGAAAGAAAAACATAACCAAAAACAGAAAAGGGCAGCACACGGACAAGTTGTTAGACCCTAATCAACACTGAAAGTTAGTTTGTTTTTTTTATATTTGAAAATACCCAATATAGTCTTTCAGTGGTAATCTACAAAACCAATAAGGGTTA